CATCCAGATCATATGTACACTAGCAAAATTATTAGCACACAAAAGATAGCCAATGCAATTAAAGGTATTATTTAAAATTATTTGAAATAAATATTATGCAATAAATAATTAAAATATAAATTTATTTAATATTTTCAAATAAGAATTGTCATCAACAAGTAAACCTATTGAGTCGGTAGATATTCCAACTGGGTAAATACTACAATGTTAAACATGCTTATAAATATAAATTTATTATTCACTTTATTTGCTAAATTAAAGGTAAAAAAATATAAATTATTCACTTACATATTAAATGAAGTTATTCAAGTTTATAATATTTTATTAATTTTATTTGTTATCTAGTAATAAAAATTTTTGAATATACTAAATTTTAAATACAATATTAAACTTAATTTTTAATTTTAAGTAATATCTTTTAAAAGAACTTGAGAAGTTTATAAATATAATAGTCAATATCTAAACATTAAAATAAAGTATTCATAAATAATATAAAACAAACGCCTTCAATAAATTCTTGAACCTTGTTTGTGTATGATTTATGTTGATTTTAAAGTTTACGTCAATTTTGACTACATTGATTTGATTGATTTAAATAGTCATTAAAATAATTAATATTATTAATTTTTTTTATTATACTTAATTACCTTATATATTGCTATTAACGCATGTAAAAAAAATTAGAATCACTTGAAAATCAATTTTAGCTTCACTAGTTTTAAAAATAAACCATGCTATCCCAAATGGTTCAACTGACCACCAAGAACTAGGCTTGAAAAGAAGGTGGGACAAAGAAAGCGTTTAGGTGTTGAGGTCTAACAGTTTCACGTGCATTAAAAAGCTCCTCTGAGTCTCTAAAATGAAAACAACATAATGAATTTTTATCCCGTCGTCGATTTAGGGGAAAATTTGTGGTTGCGAAAGAATTCATATCATTATTAGGGGCTACAGACTTAAGGTTCAGGTTTCTAATTTCGAATTAAATTAGAGCGATCTATAAATCCTATTTATTATCATTTGCAAGCTAATTATATAATAAGATATAATATACATTATCAAAAAAAAGTTTGCTTATTTTTCTCCGGATAACCCTTTTTCCTTTTCTGATTTCGAAATTTCAAGCCAAAAATAGGACTTTTCAAACTCCCACTTATTTTCAAATTATGTTAAGTCTGAAACCCCAATTATACGCATTTTGAACATATTGATTAATCCATTGCCCATTTGGAACAATCTAACACTGAATCAAGCTCTTCGACATCCGAAAACAATTTCTTATACTTTTTAATTTCTCTTTTGGATGCTTTTGGAATAACAGTTTTGAGGGCTTAAAAATAATTAAATTTTATTTTAATAGTGTTATAGAGAAGACTAAGAAATAATTTCTTGTTATCTGGCATGATATACGGATCATGGACATCGACAGTATAATTGCAACGCACGAGGCCTTCGGCCACGTGCTTTTGCTATTATCCTGCCAATACCCATGTATCTGTCAAATCATGCCAGATAACAAGAAATTATTTATCTTTCTACTAACCTTCTTCTAATTCTGGTTCTTGCGGTTGAATACAACAAACATTGCAAAACATTTGATTAACAATATAAACCTGATTAATAAGAATAATGATTAAACAATCGGGAAAGTTTGATTTTATTTGATTGAAAATTTTGACATTAATTGCGTATTATCCTACAACTGAAATCCAAATAGGAAAGGTTATCCAAACCATTGTGATAGCGAAAGGTAAAACGGCCAACTTGCAAAGAATTTTTTCTATGTACTTTATAAGTTAATGATTTACAAAATACATATCATGAATTGTTTTTTTAGACACTAAACCACCATACACGTCATTTTTGTGAGATTAATAACGTATACCGAAGTAACATATATAGCGTATTGTTCATATCGATCGATATTGTAGCCATCAAAGGGGCGAGCTTAGTGGTGATGGCAAAATTAATTTACAGGATTGTAGCATATGTAAAATATGCGATTTGGTTAAAGAGATTTAATGTTTTTTATTTAAGCAAAAAAAATAAAAAATAAAAATAAAATAAATTAATTTGATCAAATAATTTCAAATATTTGACTCAAATTCAAAATTTGATTTGATTTTGCGGAGTACTAATTTTATCTTGTAAAAAGAAAAAAACTTTCAATTTTTTTAAATACCGTACTCAACTAATAAAATATTGATCTGTTTATATTTAACATTATTAATTAAAACCACTTTTTTTAATAAAAACTTTTCAAAGTAATATATCAAATATTTAAATAAATAATAATAATAACTATTGACAAATCTACGCGTAAGTTCATTATCCTCTCTATAGAAATCGGTTTTAAATTCAAGTGCTCTACTTAATGTAATTCTTTTTGGGCTCATATCAAAAAATAATAAATTTTTTCTTAAGAACGAATATATTTATCTCAAGTTTAAATACTATCTTTTACGCTTTAACATGCTACTAAAAACTCTATTTAATTTACTCGTATTTTAACATGCTATTAAAAATATATCTAATTTATTTCACGCTTTATATACCGATACTGCTAAAATTAAAGTATTTCTTAACATACTAATAAAAATTAAATTATTTCTACTTCAGCATACTATATACTAAATTATTCCCACTTTTAACATACTATTAAAATTAATTTATTTTTCGCAATTTAACATCCGACTATATTATAGTCGTTCACTCTATTAATCAGCTTTTATAAAAGTGTGGTTTAATCACACCAAATCGCATAATTCCGTGTCCCTGTTTGATTGGTCAGGACTAACTCCTTAAATAAGCCTTTGTCTTGTGACTTAAACAATATTGTAAGTATATTATGGGTAAAAGGCGTTATGATAATCATAAATTCATATACGTGCCGATACAATCTACTTTGTTTTCTCTCAAATTCAGGATAATACTATAAAGAACGTTACGAGTATTTCTCTTCTGCCATCGAGCAACCTATGCAGTTTTCCCAAGCATCAGTATCACTATGAGTAGGGAATGATGTAACCAGAACGAAAGTAGGGTTCGCAGAAAAGACAAAGCTAACTCATATCATATTTCACTTACTAATATACTATGATCCAATCACTTCATACTTAATCATTTTGTATTTACTCAATTTGACTCTGACAAGTTGCAATACAAGGTTTGTTAATATTTCAAAATTTTGTAGCTAAATAAATTAATAATCAAGATTATCATATTTAACTAAAAGTAAATTTACTGTAATTTTATCAACACATTTATTTGATTGTATTCGATCTAATTATGAACGAGTGACAATTTAAATTATGAATATCTGCATCCCTACGACTTAAATTCCAATCAAGCTTAAAATAAACTGTCAAACATAATACTACTACCTATCAAACAAAATTCGTTGATTCCCAATCGACACATGTCCGCCGACCGAATAATTTAAATAGATTTTTAATGCAATTAGTCATTAAATTAATTATATTACGATAAGTCAGTAGTGATGACGTAACAAAAAAGTAATAAAGATTAAATCTTTGACTTAATAAAATAAATAAATTTTTACAATTTTTTTCTTCAAATACCCGTGGAACCACAAAGATATAGCATTCTGAATCGTGTGTCTTATGATTGAGTCTCGAAACCTACATTAGTCAAAAGAAAAAATAAATACTGTTATGATGAATGCAATAAAAAAAAAACCACATAGTTCAAATTTAAACATTCAATACATTCGATACACATATTTTCAAAATTTTTGCATTGTACAACTGAAGGGCTTCGTTTAGTTAAGCAAGCTGGAGACAGTTGATAGAGAAAGTTGTCGGTTGAAACCTTTTTAATAAATAATTTGCACTAAGCGAATGAACGTGCAGGTCAAAATATAATTTGGAAAAATTCGTGTAAGATAAGCTATATCTCACATCATGTGGATAAAGATGCAATTTGCAAACATAAAGTTCGTATCATCAGAAGAGCTTTCAAAAAAGCCTCAACAATTCATCTAATAGTTTCCGAAGGTTTTCTAAACTATGTACAGCTAAAATATTAATATTTCTAATAAATACAATAATTTATAATAAACTAACATTATAAGTAGTTTAATATAGTAATTAACGAT